CCTCTGGTATGTAAGGTGTGTCCCCTTTCTCTGTGTGATAAATCATACTGTGGCAGACCACGACACACGGGGGTGTGGCCCTCAGCGTGAGATGAGGCGCATTTTGTGGAGTCTAGGGGGAAGGAGGGCATAATGATTTTCTTTGAGACATGAAAATATTTCTCTCCGGTTCAACACCAGTGCATCAGGTATAACACTGGACAGCTGGCACTATCTCCAGCTTGTATCTCCTTTTGTCGCTGTATGGTGGGGCCTCTCAGGATCTAGGGCTATGGCGCTTTGTTTGGCGCTGACTAGCAAGGGACGTCTGTCTCATATGAGCTATAGTGTCAGACTCCATCAGTGGAATGAGCTGGCATTGTACTGCGTGAGTGAGAGTCACAGATGATGGGGCATCCCTGCTCCCACCTGCTTCTGTAAACTGTAAACACCCACTAATGGCCGTGCAGCTGTTTGCATGTCCTTAGTTAACCAGGGTTTAGGATAAGGAGGCTGCCTGCAACACATCAAGGCTGCAGGTTGTTTTAGCATGCACTCAAGGCTGAAAGAGAGTGCCCACTCTGACTAATTGAGGCAAATGTGATGAGCTGGTCAATGCAAGCGAGCTATCCCTGCCTTTCCCTTAAAGAGTTAAGGGGATGAAGTAATGTATGGCTAAGTGTGTGCAGGAATCAGACGGTCACACTCAACTCCGCTGCATGTTTCCGGGTGAATGTCAATAGCCCTGTGCAGCGCAGACCAGGGGGTGTGTGAGTTACGGTTAGTACGCACAGCCTGTCTGATTGAAATGCATTACAGGAGTGCCTCTCCTGCTGGGAGCGAGGCTGCTGCTATTGTTCACAACCTGACAGCTATAGGCCCACAAGGGGAGGTAGGCTATTCAACGGCAAGCAAGGTCCCTCTCAATAAAGACAAAAGATGATAATAGATCAAATGCTCCATGTTTTCGGAGCTTTCTCCTGACGAGCTTGGGTTGAGCCAGTCCTCAACACGAGCACTTGACCCAACCAAGGGTGCTTTATTTCTCCTGCCTAGATGTCTTATTCTTGTTTGCAACAAACTCTGAATGGAGCCTCTGAGAAAACATGTTTTGAGAATTTCTTGGTATTTTCATTCCTCTCCCACTGAGTCAATTTTTCATAGACCAATAGCCACGAAAACAGTTGTTCTGATCTCAGATGTGTTTCAAATCAAGCAGCGCCTTTTTTTCCTTTCAACAGACCGCAGAACTTTGCGAGTCTTTGTTGTTATTTTTGCACAAGCGAAGGCTGCATATACTGATCTTTGAACGACGAATAGACGAGCTGCAAACGGCTTAATATATATGCATTGTTCTTCACACACGTTAGTGTTTATATCATCTTGGCGTATGATGGTGTGTCTAGAGGGAGTGGCAGTGTACGGTCGGGTTAACCTGTCTGCTTCAGTGCTTTATGCTGATGAGGGACTCAGCAATCATTTTGGTATTACCCAAAATCCCATGAATGGTTGTCTGCTGGCAGAGTAGCTGGCTCCTGGTTGGTTACAGGTCATAGTCTGTTGTAAACATGCAACCAAATTACAGGATTGTGCTGAGCCCTACCACTGGAGTTAGTGGTGCCCCTCTCATTTCTTGTTGCCAAGCTGACTGTGCCACTAAGCCAGCGCTGAAGTGAGGTAGCTCCAACTCTAATGAGCTGTGATCTATAGTCTGACTCCAGCTTTACTTTCCCTCCTCGAGCTGTTTGCTTGTAAAAGTCCATGCAGGTTTAGTGTGCACCTTGTTTTTTTTCTGAGCTGTGTAAAAGACATTTCCTGTCACTGTGCAGCCAGAGCAAAGTTAACTTCAAGGTGATCTCTGTATGTATCCACGGAACTGTATTTTTTCTCCCCTCCTCACCCTGCAGAGGTATTTACTCTAGCTCTCTTATAGCAGGCTCACATGGAGCTTTTCAGCTGTACACTGTGAACTTGGCCCATGCCTGAGGACACAGCAGGAATGTTATCTACTTTTGTTTGAAATACTGGTAGCTGTTGTTGGAGCAGGTGACCGAGTTGAGTTCCTGCGCTGCTGCTCACGTCAAGAAAGAGATTCGATCTCGCCTTTGCAGACAGCATCCCTTACATCGGGGAGACACACTCAGATTCCATTTCTCTTAACCATTTCTGCAGAAACTGAGGAACTGCTTAGATATGAATGAGAGATGGGTGGGGGGAGAGGAGCAGAGATGAGCTGTTTATTTACTGACCCACTGGCCTCTGAGAGAACAGTTATATAACAAGAGTACCTGTGACATAATCACATCTCCTTGGAGGGGGGACACTAGTGATTAGTAGAGGTACAGTTTGTGTGCATGATGTAACTCACTTAACGGGTAACTGGGTCACTGTGTTCGTTAGGGAAAAGCTCCCCGCACCCTCCAACCTGCCCTCTTCAACCGACACATTCTGAGAAAGATAAACCACTCCCTGGATGTGGACGCTGCCAGAGATGGGATAACCAATCAGCTCTGGAACTAGATGGGAATAAGAGCAGGGTAAGGGGAGTAGCTTGCAGCAGTCTTCTTTCAACAGAGATGCTGAGTAATAGCCGCAGTCTATTGAAATATCTTAGAGAGTGACATCCTCCTGCCACACAGGGTAATAGCCCCTATCATCATATCCACTCCGGATCAAAGAGTTTGTTCCCTAAACCTCCTCAGTGTTACCAGAAATAGTTTTTTTTACTGCCCCTGTGGAAATCCCAAACCTCATGTTATGAAACAAGCACAACAATTAATTGGGGCATGTGTTTCTTGCTTTATGTAAGTGAATCTTTTAAGGCTGACATTAAAGCAGCAGGGTTTTTAAATGCATATTCATATCGGTGACCTAAATGCCAAAAGCAGTTTAACGGGCGGTGAAAATAAGCAGCATATCTGTTTATTTTGCATTTTCTAAGAAGTCATGCAGCTTTAAATAATTTGATGTGTCTCGGTTAGTTGCTGTTGGATACCTGATGCTTCCACTATGACTGCATTACTGTATCAGGGCAGTTAGACTGGATATCTCAGCCTAGCTCTCTGGTGTCTGGTTAAATATTAATGTTGTTGGATCCGTTACACTGGTTATTGAGCCTTAAGCAGCCCGCAGAGCTAAGCTCTACTTTTTAGCCAATAACTAATTTTGCTGTGCCAGGTGGCAGCACGGGCTGCTTGTCTTGCTAATAAGGTATGAAATCAGACTATCATGAGTCTCTTCAATGAGATTAGTGCTTTAGAAGTCAAACTGCCTCCTTTTTCTCCAGGGTGTAATCCAGGATGTGTAACGGGGTCAAACAACCGCAGCCTGTCTTCTTTAGGAATTGTACCTCTAACTTCATGCAGGATAGATGGATTGTTTCTCTGTGTGTGTTAACTCTAGCAGCAGAGTGAGATCAGTGTAGATACTTTAGCTGAGTGCAATGTGTGTATGCAAATGTCTATATGTCAGTTAGAGAGTTTACATACACAGAGCCCTGTGTGAGCCCGCAGGAACCATTGTGGGCAGGGCTGACAGAGTTTGTCGGGAGCTGAGGTGAGGCGTCAGAGGCAGGAACACAGACCGGGCTGTCTAGACTTGCTGTGTCTGTCTGCATGTTTTGTAACCATGCAGTATGGGGGGGAGGGACCGAGACCAGTAGTGCACCGCGTTCTTGTTTTTGAGACTCACTGGCATCAGGTAGCATATTACTGTTTGATGCTGAACAGCACTGTTTCCATTGTGGCCCTGAGGGAAGCCACAGAACAAAGACAGCCTTTGGCAGGCCTGTTCTTATGTGCTCATTTGTCAAGCTACCTATAAACATTCACGCGTCTCACCGTCTATTCCTCCTCATACCTCAAATCCCTGGCATAGGCTTGCATATGATGACTGATTATTCTTATTCTCAAGAAAGAACCGTAACATTAAAATAATACAGCCTGCCCTTCACTATAGTACTGCAATGTCATGCTGGTAAAATTAGATGCTGGATGTAGCTATTGTCAGGCAGAAACTCACTGAAATGGAACTAAAGGGAATACAGTATTAGACATATTGGCCAGCGGACGCAGAGGGCTGCATTTAGGCTCCATGAACACTGTTTCCACATCAGAATGGAAGGAAAACCACAAGATATATAGAACCATCTGGCTTTGAGTAGATTTGTGTCAAAGCCCACTTTTATTGCCTGATGGAGGGGGGAAGGGTGTAATTTCCCATGTGTCGAGTCACAGATAGTTGTATGTTGGAAAATGGGCTGGGTAACCATTGTGAGTGTGATTAGCATCTGGAGCTTAGATAATTAAACTGTGTCGGCTCCTCCAGCACAGCGCCAATTTTTAGGTGATTTACCCCGATTCCCATGGCTTATTACAGCCCTTCTATGTTTTTTTTTATTATTTTGAATATGTTTTGATATCCATCCCTTTACTTACTTATCACACCCCGTGATCATCGTTCCTTGATGACTCGGTCTACAATGTGCAGAAAACAGCACAGTCTTGTTCTACAGGCCTGGCCTTCTACGCAAAATGTTTGTTAGACATGCATGGCAGTCTTCATGACTTGGTAACCTGTAAACACCACAGTGACTCACGTCTCCCACTGTGGTGAGCTATCTGCTACATGGTGAGCACCAGTGTGCAGGAGTATGTACACATCACATCCCATCAGTCAACTCACAGAGACTCAGTTAGTTTGAGATCACAAGTTACAGTGTTAATGTTGCATGTTAATGCCATTGAAAAGCATGGATTGATTTGAAAAGCCTGCCTTGGCCCCTGCAATATCATACAGTCAAACAATGATGTAATTGTCTGTGTAAATATTCACACCTCACAGTAGCCACCACACCTCAGGTTTCACATCTTTGCCAGTATACTTTCATATCAGACTGAAATCAGTGGAAAACTACAACTGCTTTGAAGGCTTGAAAAACAAGTCCAAGTGTGGTGTAATTTAAAAAAAATGTTTCCTGTGTGATTAAAACTGACATCTCTTCTTCCCTCTGTGTGTTGCAGGAGAACGTCCTTTCCCATGTACTTGGCCCGACTGCAGTAAGAAGTTCGCCCGCTCCGACGAGCTGGCCCGCCACTATCGCACCCACACGGGGGAGAAGAAGTTCGGATGCCCGCTTTGTGATAAGCGTTTCATGCGCAGCGACCACCTTATGAAGCACGCCCGGCGCCACTCGGATTTCCAACCCGGCATGCTGAAGAGACCCCACAGCGGCAGCAGCAGCAGCGGCAGCACCACACGTCCCAGCTCCCTCAGCGACTACAGCCGCTCGGACGCCTCCAGCCCCACCCTCAGCCCAGCCCTCAGCCCAGCCAACTCGCCTTAAACTGGAACCCTGTCGCACTTTCTGCCTCTGACCTGGGAGGCCTGTGTTTTTGTCATAACACTTGTGTTGCACAGTTGTCAGCAACATCCCCCCTTTGCTATTCCTGCGCTTGCTGTGGTGTACCATACTGTACATAACTGCTTATTGTAGTGCAATTACTTGTGTGATCCTAAAAGAAGGTAATGCCTTTCCAAGATGGCAATATTTACATTCTGTACCATATGTCTGTATTTTTTTAGCTTCTGATCATGGCTAGTTGTCCAATGTAAGTCTGCAGTCAGCTAAACAAGGTTTAGAAGAAGAAAAAAACAGACACCCTGACAAGTCTTATCAAAATGGATCTTTTTTAGTTGTTTTTCTTTGTTTTTTTTTAACGGGTGAGGAGAGGGGGTACACACACACCTCAGGATTGAAGACAGTTGCTATTTCTGTAATACCACAGTACTTAACAGTACTCACATTGACTGCACAATATACTCATCACTTTACTCTGAAATTCAACGGGGGTTGAATTTTATGCCCTGCTCAGGGATGGCCTTGTTAGCTTGAAAGAATGAACATGGTGAAGAGAAACATACAGTACATACATATATAACAGCCTTACACTCAACACAATTTGCACTCTTTGTTTTTTTGTTGGTTTTCACGTTTGAGGAAACTAGCCCTACAGTCATACGGTCAGTCGTACACAGAACTCATGTCCTGTTCTCCCTTGTTCTGGGAGGTTCAAATGTAATGTAAACGCTGTGTGTTAAGAAAAAAACCCACCTCAGTAAACAAATACATCTGTTCCTTCACCGCAACGTTAATATTCAGTTGCCGTTACACTGGGTTAAATATGTATTTCATTAAACAGCGGTGTGCAGTATATACTGTGTAAATCTGCATTGTGGGATGATCGGGATTATATTGACTGTTGTTAACAGTTTTTATAAATACACTCGGTTGAAGAAACGTTAGACCCTTTAAATAGAGACAGTTAAGTTTCAAAGCAGCTGTTCATGCTTTTTCTTTAAAAAGAAAGCGCTGTATCATCAGCCGGTATTTCACACAAAATGGACACAAAGGGACTTTAGTGGAAACAATGTTTATCCTTCTCTCAAGCACATAGGAAAAAGTACCAAAGACAAGAGTGAATGAAAGCTTTTTATTCAGTCTTGTAAGTTGCCCTTCATTGAGGCCTGGGGCTGGTGTTTGGCAGTATCACAGGTAGAGCCAGACAGCCGGCTCACTTCCCTCCTCCTGGCTTTGCCTTTTGTGGCCTCCCTGGAGGAAACAGCTGCATCCCACAAGAAGCTATTCACAGCCCACAGCAGGAGTGGTAACATGCCATTCCCGGGGAGTTCTCCCTCACCCATCTGGCTCTACCTGTCCCCGTCAAAGACTGGTGAAGCAAGCCAAGCGTGCCAAATTGCGTAAGGTTGCCTAACCTTGGGGTCAAATGTAGGCCAGAGAGTGTGGGCAGAGCCAGGGCTGGGCAGCGACACGGTGGAGAACAGAGTGAACAAAGCAGCTATCTGAAAAAGACAGGCAAGAGAGGGCAGGTCCTGATAAAAGAGGAGAGGTTTATCATGAGCTGAGCAGCACAGAGGAGGAGACACCCAGTCACAGACACCCCCCGTCTCCTCCTCCCCCAACTCCCCCCCTCCCTCCAACTGTAGTAACTGTGAGTGGAAAAATGGCTGTAATTAGTGGGTTGATCCAACCTGTATGATAAGAGTAGAAAGATAAGTGTATGAACAACAGTACTACCTAGACCGATGCTAGCAGTGTGGGTGGGATGTACCCAACTGCATCCTAAGCACAGGGAGAAATCCTCTACTACTGCTGCAGAGTCACATTTCACCACGCCAAGGAAAAAATGTCGCTCCGAATTCGCACCGATAAACCAGAGCTGCGAAACAGCTGCTTTCAAACTTCTCTCTCGCAAAACAAGGGGGCTTTTAAACTCTTGTAAAAACATTTGAACCAAAACGAACATATCAGCAAAGTGCAGTGCTCACCAGCCTCACGTCGTCCTGCCTGTGAAGCTCAGATGTCCCGTGAGAAAGCTGACTTGTGTTTCTAGACAGACATGCCTCAATAAGTCAGGCAAAAGGCACAGTAAACCTTCCATGGAAACGGGCACCACTATCAAAACTGCTGCAGCCCAGCCAGTCTGTGTTATGCCTACATTTTCTTTTAATGCTTCAGCACTATGGCCGGAAATAGTTTCATCTATGTATCTGGTCCTGTCAGTGTGTTAGCTTCATTGTACCAACCGACTCTCGCCCCGCAGTGCCGCGGCTCACACTATATGCATGTTAACAACTTTGCCTTGGAAAACGTTGAGTGTTTTTTGAGGCGGTCTGGCAGGTGTAAGTTCATCAATGGCAGGCCTTGTCCCTCGTTCTCCACGTGCATCCATCTCCCTTTAAAGTTGTGAAGAATCAGCTCTGTCACATCCTCCAGCAAGAAAACATCCCTCGTTTAGATCGAATGCAGTAGTTTCCTCAAAACACCACGTTTAAAAAAAAAAAAACAGCCCTCTGTAAGAAGGTAAAATAGTTTCCAGGCTGCGAGATGACACTTTAAATGCCACTGATCAGCAGCTCTTAGTTAAATAAGCACTGAGAGGGTTTTACATTTACCATTTCTGGAAAGAATCTTTGATTTTCACAAATTCTTCAAATTGCTGTTGAGCAGCTTTTTGTTGTTGTTCTGTTTTAGTCTGTTTTTGACTTGGTTTGTAGTGTAACTTTCTCTTGCAAAAGAAAAAAGACAAAAAAAGGAGTAGTTCACCCTCAAGCAGGTTTCATTATTTCATTCATCACTTCTCAATCCATAATCTGCACATTTACCTCAGGGTCGACATCCGCAAAGCAGATATGGGACAGTTTGTGGATTTTGTTGTAACATCAGTTGCTGCACAGAAATTTCTGCCAGCCTCCCCCTGGTGTTCCTGGGTGCTTAGTGCTCACTGCTGGTCAGTGTCCGACCACACTGGAAACACAGGAACGCCTCCATACGGGCTCAGCTCCTGCCTATAATGTCTTCATAACATCCTGCAGTCCTGCTACATGCCTTAGTAAGCACTGGGCACTCGGGGAGCTGTTTTCAGTGAAACACCCATTTAAACATCTTTGACCCTTAGTGTCAGTGGACTTACAGTAGGCGACAGGAAGCTCCTACCATCTGAAAATAAACCGACTGTGACAGTGTAAACATCCCAGTCCATCCATCCAGACTGCACCAGTGAACATATATAGGCCTCCACAGGCAGTGTCTCATAACTTTTATTCTCACTGTACCAAATCTACTTGAATAATTCAACACAAAAGGCCATTGAACACAGTTTTTGTACATGTCCATTTTTACTGTACTTGCTTTTGTTGTCAAATAATTATTAACCTCTGGAGAAAAGGTGTACAGTATGTTTGATTTATTTTGTTGTTAATTTTTTTTTCTAGATTTTCCATTGTCTTCAGGTCATTTCAGCAATTCTTTCGAATTTATCACAGCATTAAAGTTGACTGTTTTTGACTGGCTGTTTAAAGGCACCATATATTGTTTTAAAAAAAACAACAACATAATTTTAAGCCCCATTGATGGGGTTCACCCCTTTAATCAGAAACAGTTAATACTCTGTTGATGTCAGGATACAGGTTATTTCACCTGTTATCCAAAAATTGCTCTAAGTCAGAAACTGAAAGGATTGTTTGGGGTAACGATAAGAAAAGGAAACTTCCTGACCTCTATGTACAACAGTTTTTGTCATTATTTAGATTCTTTTGAAAGTTATTCATGAGAATAGAGACCACAGCATTGTGAGTTAGCAATGTAGTCATACTTTTTATTGCTTTTTTTTTGTTTCATATGAAATGTTTAAGCTTGTATATTTTCCAAAAATCATACCTCTTGAAAAATTTTACTTTTTGTTGTACCTTCATATCTTTTCGAAACATCCATCATGTAGCTTACGTTTGCTTGAAGAGTAGCCAAGTAGAGTAATAATTGGTGGGTTATTGTCCCTACTTGAATGAAGAAGGAAAGAACAGAAAAGAAGAAAAGAAAGGAAGAATAGAGAAGGAACGAGAAAGAAAAAGAAAAATCATTTTTTCTGGTAAAGAAACAAAAACAAAAACACTTGGGTACATTTTATATTATCATCCCCATGTTGGTCAGGGTCCTGCACCTCCTTGTAGATTAAAACAAAAAAGAACCTTTCAGTATTAAAAATATGTAAACTTGTTTTCTCTATAGGCTATTTTATTCAAAAAAATTGGAAAACATCCTCGCATACTGACCATGTTTTGTCTTGTTTAACCTTTTCTATGTGACGGATGATGTCAGCTGTAAAGCTAAACTCCTTGTCAGCATTTTTTCTATCCCAACTTTATCGATGTCGCTCCCCCCCTTTACGATTGTAATCCCAGTAAGATTACAGGTTTCGACATCTGTTAGAGAAAAAGAACTGTAAACAATGACAAAATGGAAATGCAAGGTTTCTACAAGATGCTAACAGTCTACCAGTTAATATCTTTTTCTGCTAATTTAAAAAAAACACATTAAAGTGAAGTGATTGTTGTCTAGTATGTAAAGAACTAACAATCTTATTTAAAGAGTTCATATTAATAACATGAATATATCACTGATCAGGCCGTCTCAACTAAAATCTTCACGACTGATCTCAACGTATAAGCATGATCGATGCAATTGTGTGCCAAAACTTCAATGGTAACTTCAGAAAGATGATACAAATGTTATGGGTAAAAAAAAAAAAAACAACCTAGCTACTATCAGACATTTAACAAACTTGTACAGTTTTATAAAGTGTGACATGTTTTTATGAAATGTACAGTAATATTTCTTTTCTGCTTTATGTAAACATTTTGATTGTGTAGCTTTGTTTTCATTTGGTTCTTGTTATTTAATTTTTTTCTTCTTTTTTTTTTGCTGTACAATACTCAAGCAATGTATAATGGCTTATTACAGGTATTTTTGACAAAAACAATCTTAATGATATTGAACGCCCAACCATTCCAAAGGATTAAAAAATGCATTTGCTATAACTGTGCTGCTTACATCGACCCGATGCGTTTTTGTAGGTTATGAATAGAATTTTGTCTTGACTGTGAGGTTTTACACGTTGTGAGTTGTGCACAAGGTACGTTTCTCATTGTCAACAATTCCCAGGTTTAATCTCTCTTTTCTTCTCTTCAGGCTCTTTGTGTAGGCTAAGCCAATTCGAATGAATAACATACATGCAATATTTAAAAGCATTATAATCTATAATATTTCAAATTTAAGGACATACAGACCACGTCTTCCCTGATGACAAAGGCCTGAGGCTTATTAAAGGTGGGGATAATGTTGAAGAAGCGGCCGTGATAGAAGAGAGTGGTTCCTGAGCAGTGAGAAGGAACTTTGAGTTCTCACAGCTCATCAGAGGCCCCACAGTTTTGTAACTGGTTGTTACCAAAGGCTTTGAAGGGAAAGATGAATGTTGCAGTAATTTTGAACCCAACCCACTTTGGACACCTGGGTTCAACTTTATATGCTGTAAGTTGTGCTTAATATGGACCTTTTTTCTACATCTCAGATAAGCAACTTTGTTGTTATTATTTTTAAAAATCACTTGAATGAACAAAACCCACTTAATCATACGAGCAAACGAATTCTGAATGAGTAAAAAGACAAGAAACTGAGAGACTGAGTGAGTAGGAACATGCAGCACAGCAGACCATATCTGTCTGTACCCTTCACCGACCATGTGGTCTTGCTTGACTGCCTGAACTGACGCTGTGCGGTGTTTGCTTTTACTGTAGAAATGCACGCTGACAAAAAGTGCTCTGCTCAAGCATTGGATATTTTGCCCTTAAATGATTTGTCTGTTTCAGGTTATGCAGCACACAGTGCTGTGAATGACCTCCCTTTGATTACAAAGAGAGAGCCTCTCACCAGCCTTTTGGTTCTGATTCCTGTACCTGTTTGTCCTCAATGTACCTCTTCAGTGTAATGTTGCTCTCTTGATACCTCTGTGCGTTTCTCCTCTGCCCATCACCATCAGTTGCCTGTTGTAGTGACTCCATGGTGCTGTTTTCCCTCTCAGCACCAATATAATCTAATCTGTAAATAACTCTTGACTCAGCTATGGCCAGTACATTCTTCAATGACCTCACTCTAACCTTCAGGTGTCATTTTGTTTTTGTTTTTTTCTCAGCAAACCAAAATCACTACATTCAAGTATTACAGTTGTACAGTTCCTCGGATTCTACACACAGTTAATGTGCTGGTCTTAGCTGCTCTGCTGTACCTTTTTATGGCATTATTTTTTACATGTTAGACAATATATTGTGACCATGTCCTATGCAAATATGGAAAATAACAGATTGTTGAATAATGTATGTTGTCACAACTTGTATGCATGAAATAGTGAAGTTTACATTTGGAAATAAATTCATAAAATAAGCAGCCACAATGTGTTTTGTGCTCATTTCTTTTCCTGTGTAAACTAATACTTTGTTATTGTTGCTCAACAGAGGCCATGTGGCCACAGTTAACAAGAACTAACATGTTACGGAATAATGATAGATGTTAAAACATCAGCTAGTAGTACCAGAAGAGAAGAACTGTCAGCTGCCCCCCCCCATTCCCATTCTTTATGCTAAGCTAAGCTAACCCTCATCTGGCTGCCTTAACCTCAGACTTACCGTACAGATATGAGAGTGGTATCAAACGTCTCCTCTATCTCTCAGCAAGAAAGTGAATCCCAAAATATCAAACTGTTGCTTTAAGTCAGGGAACTGATTCAGTAAATGTCAGTTAAGTTAGTTAACATTAGCCCTCAAATGCTAAAGGTCATACCAAGTGAAGCTGTAGAGGCAAAACCCCTGAGTGTATTAAACTGAACAAGGTGTGTTTTTTATTGCTATCAAGTAATAATGTTAAGGAGAAGAGTGTGTTTTTAAAGTTACATGGTCTCTCTTTAATGTCAGATTTACAGACGGGGGATAAATTTGCAGAAACCTGCATGAATGAGTCGAGCAACGTGACAAATGCAGATCCTTTTATAAAAGACACAGGGGGTCATTGAATGGTTTGATAAGAATAAACGTGATGTGAATCAATTGTACACCTAAGGGATAATGGAGTTGGTTGGTTTTTCCTTTTAAAATGTCACCCATCTGTTTGTCAGACCTCCTCAAAGAAAGTTCCTCATTTGCAACTGAACTAAACATTAAACCAGGCTTTTAGAATTACAGCAGAGAACTGCAGGAGTTTTTTCTCACAAGCCTGCCATGTGCTTCAGTATTATTCTTGCAACAGGAAGTACACCTTGTTCCCTCACTTCACCCATGCAAATATTTACAGTAACTGCTGGGGTATCAACAATGGGTGGGGCACCAAGTGCTGGGGACTCCTTCCTTCCTTATTGTATTTCAGGCCAAACAGACTGATATATATGATTGTGTGAAATTTCCTGTATATACCCAGTGCACTGGATGATTCACTACAAACTGCAGCCTCTGTCAGAGTTTCTCCCTCCATCTGCATTTGCTGCTCTGCAAAATCACTGCCAACATGCTTTTATCCCTCTCTTAAGCCGAGTGCGCCCACCAACACCAGCAGAGATCACAGGCGTGGCCTTTCCTGCTCACAATGAATCATGCGATGTGGAGTGAGACAGGAAGGAAGAGAAAGAACGAAGGCATTAAAATTCTTGATGAGGAGCCTGGTGTTCTCCTTGCTCAATCTGTACACCTCCTGTCTCCGGGCAGGTTGGAGCTACCAGCACACCATGCTACACAAACAGACAAGCTGCCACCCCTGGCACCGCCACACAACTTGGTGTGCCATCACAGCCGGCATGTTCCCAGAGCTTGTTTTTCATGTTTGTGTGGCAACATGAGGGCCTCCTGCATAGTTCATTTTTATGTGTTTATATTTAACTTTAATTTTTCAATTCTCTTCAGCTTTTCAATGTTGGCAGGGAGCTGTTGTCAAGGAAAATTGAGCTGCTAAATATAAAAATCCTGCATCTTTCCTCGGCATGATAGTGGAGCCTCTGCTCATGCAACAGTAGAGCCTCGCTAGAGTACCCCTGCACACCGCTCACTGAGCTAATTCACACATATCTCGCCGTATTACAAGAAATGAAAGATCTTTTTGGGTTTTGCTGGTTGTGTGGGTGAGGCACATATTCTCGCTGGGTTGCATGTCTTTCAGTCACGTGTTTATTCTCAAGATGACACATTTTCCCCTCTGTAGTGAGTTATATTGCTGCAGATGCGGGGCAAGGTACAGTTATATGAGCAGTGAGAGCACATCTCTGCTGTTATCACCCTGCAGACAGGATGTGGGGGCGGAGGAGTTGGTTTCACTTTGACTGATTTATCTCCTCAGTCACACTTTTTCTTTGGATTATTAGCTCCTGAGCACCCAATCTCCAGGTGAAGTTCTATACGAAGAATAAACTCAGGTGTTTGGTGAGAAACTCGACTGTGAGTTATTTTGAATGCATTGTCTGAGAGGAAAGTACTTTACAGTATGTGAGAAATGGAAGATGAGGATGAGGCTGTGGG